AATGTCGTTGAAAATACGTTTATTTTAAATAGTTTTGGAGCAAGCGAGATCTTCGTCTTGTCGCTCAGTCTGAGAGCGTAAAGACAAGGTAAAAATGTTAAATTGGGAAAGTGCGAAGACAGCGTACCAAATCAAGATGGAACTCGCGATCTCCTACTTACTGGTTTACTGAACCGTTTCGAGTCTCACTTGGGATACTGTTTCTCATTTTCTTAGTTTACCATCTTTTCCTTGTCTTAAAGTTTTGAGAGCTAACAATTGAGAGCTGAAAATCCCAATTTATTTCAAAAAATCGTAAAATAAATTTGCGAATGAAATCGGACGTAAAGCAGAATTTAGTTAATAATTTATGTAATAGCACGATTAATTATTAGTTCGCTGTATGAAATGGCTGCGTGAACAATCGAAATGGAATGTTTTATTCGTCAACCAAAATAATACAGAGTTTATCGGTAACGCAAGCACAATTAATCGAGATCTTACAAACTGGTGTAATTTGAAGTTTAAAGAAAGAATTGATAATTAAGTATTATATCGACATATGAACATCAAAAAAGAAAAGTAAAAAATCTCATTGATTGCAATATTTAGAAAGAGAATAACTAAAGCTGAATAATTAAATCGACCGGGCACTATCAGCAAGTTGCAAAAGCAAATTGTTTAACTTAATTGACTCCCCAAAGTATTCGCAACGACGACTTTACGCCAAAGATTACGGTAAAACCAAAATATAATTTAAAAAGAGTACGCGATAAACACCTCTTTCCACTTAAGTCCCGCGAATTTTCATAGAGCCCACAAGAAGTGAGAGGAGTCGTAAGTTCATTTTGAAGCTTGCGGAAAAGAGGCGTAGAGAGAGAGAGTGAGAAAGAGCTCCAAAAGTTCTCTGGTTTCTTTATTGACAATAGGGAAGGAGAGAGAGAGAGAGAGACCGCAGTAGTGGCTCTTTCTGAACGGTGCAATGCAACTCGCTGCGGAGCTTAATTCCCTTATGATACTACAGAGGCGACACGAGAGACACTGATTTCATTACGGTCTAGAGGGAAGAGAAGATGTTGGCTGTCGGCTGCTTGACGCGGATATATGTGCGAACAATGCAAGCGAAGTTTATACGAATTATACGAAACTTTATCCGACGTTGATTTGCTCGCGACGAATTTACCTTGATTTGCGCGTTACGAGCGATACGTTATGCGAAAATTAAATTTGTCTCTGGTTAAAATGTCGCGCGAGAGACTGCTACAGATACTTATACACATAGCAAGGTTGCGGGACGTGTCCGTGCAATTATTTTCTGCTCGTGTTGTTTAGCATGTATGTTGTGTGTTAAGAGGGAGGAAGGAAAAAAAATACAGCGAAGTCGTATGAACGTCGACTTGATGCAATGTACCACATATGTCTGCTAATGAGCTTTACTCTTCGGAGACAAGAAAGCTTCGGTCTTTTATTTTTGCTCTCTATGTAGTGAAGTTATTGTTGGTTGTTATTAAGCGCGACGCGCCACTGGCTTTTCAACTGCGCTGTACACTCACCATCGACACATAATGCCCCATTTAAGAGCTGCGCGCGTGCGCAATTATCGCGCGGAAGCAATCGCGAAGCAATCGCGACCAACATCCTCTTAGCGGTCATCCATCAAACCCGTAGCTCCAAAGTGTATTACGATGACTAATTCTCAGTTGTCGCATAACGAGCGTGGAGAAACAGACATCTCTTGACGTTTCTATGATTGAAATGGTAAGAGTCTCGGTCGTCTTTATTTATAGCTCACCCTCCCTCGCGAGCACCGGCAGCAGTGAAAGCTCCTTATGCCCGACAATTCGTAATACCCGTAAGAGGCTTAAAGCTCGATGTTAGATAAGGAAAACGGGAGCGAACTCGCGAAAAAAAAAAGGAAAAAAGCTGGGCAAGCTCGGATACGACGTACGTCGCCTCGGCCGAGGTGAAATTGACGCTTGCGATATTATTCATTACATGTCGGAGTGCTTTGAGCTTTTCGATTTGTGTGTCGTAATGGACGAATGATGTCGTGCTATGGTTTGGGAATTCAAATTACAATGTCAGCGCTGTTCCTCTCATCGACGCAGCCCAATACTTTGGGGTACAAAAAATTCGAGCCGTTATTGTCAATTACGGAAAAACATAAATCGGCGCTAAGATCAGCGCCCGTGAAGGTTCTGCACCGTAAATAAATTATTCCTTCAACTGCATATGCAATTTGTCCATTAAACTGTACAATATGAAGGAACAACAATAAACTACACATTACTCTGACAGCTACGCAAAGCTCTTTTGCCTCATCTCTATCAATCTACGATCCAATCGTCGAAATTACGTATCGGACCGAAAAGCAAATAATCGAGGGGAAAACTCGCACGTGTGCCAAGAGCCCGAGCGAAAATCTCACGCGTGATCGAAATTGCACATAGTGTATTTGCGTGTCCGCGGTTGTTATTGAGAGCGGAGTCGCTCGCTTCCCCCGACCCCAAAGGGAACTTGCGGGAAGCCACATCGCGAAACGATATCGCGCTTTCCGCGGCCTGACTTGGCGATTTCATTCGCGAGCACTTTCTTGTCGAGAGATGCGCTTTATTGCGCGACTTTTCAATGACTTTGCAGCTTCGGGAACCGTTGGAATTTTTCGCAAAGAAAAGCGTTTCTTATCGCATTAGAGTCGGACGGCTGTGCGCTGAAGAACACCTCGTCGATAATAATTCGCATAAATAGGCACTTTCGAGTTGCTGAGCAAACGCTAGATCTCGAGGCCGCCCAACTAGGCGACAATTGCCACCGCGCGATCGTATTAATTACGCTTGATCGATAACATGACGAACGCGGTTTCCGAGAAATGGGAAAAAAGAAGAATGATAAGGTTTCGCAAGAGTTTACGTGGAAACAGTGCCGTGCAGACTCCCCGCTATTCGTCACGCTGAGTCGGTGTGGCGCGCGAGCAAAAACACCTTGCAACAATAACGGCAGTTAAACTAACATTCGTTTCTCGGGAACTGTTTAACAAAATGCCGTACACCTGGCACGTCTCTCTCTCTCTCTCTCTCTCTCTCTCTCTCTCTCTCTCTTTCCCAGGAGGAAGCTTTTCTTCTTGCTGCTTCGCCCTATTATCGATCAACTGTCAGCCAGTGTTCGCGTATCGCGCGAATGAACTGTCATTCCGAAAGTGTGCGTACGCGACGCGACGTAATTTTCTCACTTTACACGCGAGTTAGTTTCGTGAAAAGCTCGCAATTCTCGATGGTTTGAGCGCGTCCTCTGCGACTGGCGTGAACGATTCATCGGGATTTCGACGCTACTTTTCGAAAAATACAGCCACTGATGGATCGTATTTCTGGAAATATTTCGCGAGGGTTACGGTAATACGGCAACGTGTTTTTTTTTCTTTTTTTTTTTATTTAAAAAGGCCCACAGTTCCGAATGAAATGAGTATTCATAAAAGCGATGTTAATGAAACTGCCGCGCGAAAATTCTATTTCAGTCAATGCGCTCGCGCGTTTTGTTATTCAATGCGTACACATTCGCACGTGCGAAATGGTCCTAAAAATACTTCAGAGGGAAACGCGTACGATCGCTAATGAAAACGATCGCGCTGACAAATTTATAACAATCGCACGAGTGCACGTAGTCTTTAAAGTCGTCTAATAAAACGTGCGAAGTTTGATTTGTAAGCGACCTCCTTACGACGCCGCGCTTTGCAACATCCAGCGACCTTTAACGAAGTTGGAAGCGTGCACATTTACGCAACGCCTGTATTAAGAATGCATAACTACGAGGCAAACATAAAAAAGAAGCAGAGTATATATATGTGAATTGTGATAATGAAGCCATTCAATGTTGAGGTCGATAGAAACAACGAAAACCGACGGACTGTAATTACGAGGCCTCTCCCTCCCATCCATCATCTCGTAAAAGAGGTGATCTCGAGAAAGATTGACACGGGAGATAAGTAGCTGTTGTTAATCGCGACTGCGTGCGGTTTAAAAGCACCGTTACCAAGTACGCGCGGAAAAGCCGGATTTTCGAGAAGCATCGTAAATCTACGCGCACCGCTGCCATTGGCGGCGATTATCAGTTGGCAGTTTTCCTCGTGCCACGTAAACACTAGGATCCCGATGCGGGATGCGCGCATATATGCCTTCGGACGCCGAAATAAGAAGACGCGATATCGTGGCTTTAATTGGAGTCGACATTTATCTAACCAGACGCAATATAATTTTTCAACTCCGGTGTCGCAACGACGACTGTACGCGAGGCGACGGCGAAGAGGAAAGGAAGCGTCGATCGTTCCTCTTCGCTTTTATCTCGAATAACTCGTCCGCAAAATTGCATTCGAGCAAGAGCGAAGATAACGAAATTTCGTATGTAGACCACATGACTAACAATTTCGTCATTCCCTCGCGAGTGGTTTATAATTTATAGAATTAACGTTTCGCAAAGTTTCTCTCTCGCTCTCTCTCTCTCTCTCTTTCTCGCTCTCTTGCGAGGAGCTATGAAATTTTCATCATGAATAATTCATGCGCCAAATTTTCGGCAATTTCTCCATGACGAAACGCATTGACAAGTTTTCGTATACATCGACTGTCTCGTCAAACGACGACGTACATATTTCTCGAGATATGTAAGATCGTTCCAGAATGCTCCATCCATCGCGGCGCGTATAACCAGACCGGCGAACTGCGCGGTGACGCAGAGGCAAGGTGGCAGCTCGGTACGCGCGAAAACGTCCGTCGACGGAGCCAAACAGAAGAATCGCGTCCGGGGCCGCGTGGAAACGTGCAGCGAGCATCTGCCGCGAGCTTTCTCGAAAGCCCCGCGTGCACACACACACGCGCGCGCAGCAAGATAAACGCACGTATGCGTACGGCGGGAGACACGTCACACGGCTCGACTCTCCCCACCTTGCTATACACGGTCGTGCCTGTCGCTGTGTGTTTTCCGCGGGGCCCGCGCGACCTTCGCCGCCGCGGCTTTTGTATAACCGGCCGCTTCCGATCGCCGGATCATCAGTACGCGTCGAGACTTTTGACGGAGCACTTGTTCCCTCGCCACGAGTGAAACGCAGCTAGTGCACCTCTTTCCATTTTTCCTGTTCGTTAAGCGAGTTTTTAACGACGATGAGGAGTGTTTGCGGTGCCGTCCTTATGCTCGGATTGATAGCGCTTGCGCGCGGTTTTCCAGGTAAGTCCTCTTACCGGTCGAGCATTTTCGCATTTCTGTGGCGTCTAGAAAATTTGCTTTCGCATATCGATTCGCAGAATAATTGTTGTTTTTCCCAAATATATCGCCCTTCCCATATATGTTATTCCATTGACGCGAATGGTCATACATTATATATTTGAGGAAGAAACAGCAGAATTTGCGTGTTTTTGAAATATATACAACGAGCGCGCCTGTCGATAAATATCATAGTCGCGCGCGCGCGCGCGCGCGCCCGCTGAAATTCATTTATTTGTTGTCGTTTCGAGCGATGAATCCTGTTGTTTATTGATTTCGTTCTCGCGATTTACGCGTATGCACCTTTCGTCGACGCGTTACACTCGTCAATACAAATGACGTAGTGCCAGGCGCGCGAGACTCGTTCCACAACGTGAAATCGCCGAGAACCTCCAAAATTTGAAGCGACCGACGTCGATTATTCTGCAGAATGCATTTTAAATGCCGGTCGATTGCCGCGAGTTACCGATTGAAAATTCAAATTGACAATTATTCTCGAGTCCACCTTAAATTAGTTATAAAAAATCAGAGCGGTTCGGTTTCGGCATCCGTCTTCGTTGACAGTAATTTTCGTAGCCACGCAATTAAGAGCCTATTAACGCGTCTAATTATTTATGAATCATGGCACTGAGTCAGACGCACGGCTGTCAAAGCGCGTTTTGTCGTTGTTATATTTATTTCTTTATGTAATGGCGAAAGAGTCACCGAGAGCGACGAGTAACTCGATACCTTTTTCAAACCTGTGTGTATTGACTTCCGGTTACAGCTCGTTACGCTCGACATGCACGCACCTCCGTTACTCGCGCTCTCCATCGTCGATTTGCAGCTTTGCCGATATTATTTGCAAGCGCGCGTTTCCAGGCTATAACGTTCGCTCGTCGAAGGGCAGCTCAATTTTTTTTTTTTTAATAGCCGTTCTCGAGGAAAATACGACGCTGATTTCGCCAAGGAAACGGCAGTTCGTTAATGACCAATCGACTCCGACTCGCGGCGCACGCAGTCGCGAGATATTATTTTTGTTTTGCTTGACGTTCTCTTTAGACCCGTCATGAATTATTTATCTCTTTCCGGGTATAACAGTCCATTGTAAATATTAATGACCGTTCGCGTGTAACGTAATCGCAGCCGCGCGTGTCACTAATTTTTCCGAGAAAGTTCATGGAATTATTCATCGTGTTTATCTCGCGTGTGCATCCTCGACGAAAAACAATTTCACGCCGAAAGACAGTTTTTTCGGTCTCTTTTCAGAGGCGCCGCGTCTTCTTTTCCCGGCCTCGCGATTAAAACAAATCCTGCGCGTCAAGCCTTTACGGCCTTTTCCGTTTTTCGTGTTGCGCGCCGCGCGGCGGCGGCGGGGCTGGCTGCGGTTGCGTGCCATGCACCAAAGCCCGGAAATTAAACGCAAGCTCACTCTGGACGAGAGCCCCCGCGGTCTGAGCGATTAGACTTAACGCTAATTTCTTTTTTTCCCTTCCTTTCTCAGCGGCGCTCGTTTTCGGCGTTTCGCTTTGCTTCTCGAAATCCCAGCCGCGATTTCCGGCCGTCGAAAAATATCACGCCGCATACTAATAAACGACGGCGCCGCGTGGAGGTCGTCCCGCGAAAGGCGAAGGCCGTTTCCGCCAACTGGCGAATTAATTGGCGGCACTGTAGTCCGCCTCATGCGATCGCTGCCACGCCGAGAAAAACGAGAAACTCAGTCGATGCGCGCGCGATGATGCATTGCGGCCATAAGACATTTTCGGCTTGCTTTTATTTCGGTCACACTAAATTTCAAAGTCGCACTTTGCGAACTCGGCTGCGCGCGGACCATGATTAAGTGCGCTTACTACGAACTTACCGAAATTCGTCGCTTCTTCCGCGCTCGCGCGTCCGCGAAGAAAAGAATGCTTTTTTCTTTTTCTTAATTGTCCTCTCCTTTCTCGGAACCTGTCCGAGTAAAAAGTCGTTCTCGTCCCCCCCGCTGAAATATGGATTCGGAGGCAAAGGGAAGCGCAAACGATTCAAATCATCTTTTCAGAAAGCGGCAATCTTTATTTACGTTTTTTCCCAACCACGCGAACGTTGAATCGCACTCGATAGCGGAAGAGTCAGTGTGCAATTTGATAAAGTATACTCGGTAGCGAGTGTGTACATTATTCGAGAAACTCTCTTTGTCGAGACATACGAAGATAATTGAGTTTCTCAATGGCACTCCGACAACGATTTTATTGCGCGCAGCATCGTAATCCATTAACTGTAATAACAAAATGTTTATCGAAAACTTAAACTTGCGTGTAAATCCGTAAAGCGAACTGAGCGCGCCATTAGCGTGAGGCTTTTATCACACTTTAATTGGCTGCAATTAGTATTGGCAATCAACGCAAGGAGCAGTAAAATCATTATCGTGCTTAACCTTCGAGGTGGCCAAGAAATGCCGTATAGTTGCGTTCCGGCGCCACTTCCCGTTGTTACTGACACACGGGAGAAGCTCGTAATCGATCGGCGCCGTGATTGAAGCCAAGACTTTCCGCGAGAGAGTGTTTGACTTGACTCCGAGACTCGAGAGCTCGGCGATATGGGAAAACTTTGCGCGCGCGTATTAACGCTTGGCATCGACAGAAGCGAGCTTCTTATCGTTCGCCCCAGACTCCAAGTTTTCGCGTGTACAGCAGCGAAATCCCTCTGCGTTTAGATAAACAAATGTAGTTGGCGCGAGCATTCGTTGCGCGTCGCGAGATTGTGATTTCGGGCTCGGCTCCACTCCTAATTCAAGTGCATTTTCAAGCTTTTGCCGTTGACACGAGGCTCTTGCCAGCGTTCGCCTCGTACTCTGCTGTGATTATTTGTCCATTTGGCTTTGCAATGCCCGAAGCACTTGCGCCTTGTTCAGACTCGCTAAAATCACCACTTTACGCTAACCTAACCACGCGAAGATAAGTCTGCTCGAGCCACGTAAAAAGGAGGGCCGGGGGAAGGAGCGGGGGAGGGGCCTTAAGCTTCCGTCGGAAAATAACGAGGGCTCATGTTAAAATCATAGCTGCGAAGCTCCGAAAAAAAGGGAAAAACGGGAAGACCGTTGAAAAGAAGAAGCGCGCTTCATCCCCGATAATGATGTTTGCCCCGGCGCGCACACACATCCAACAAAGGCCGGCCGGCTATATACAGCGGAGAAGGACCGGACGAGCAAACACGTACGGGCACGAGGTACGGATAAGAGAGATTGAAATCCGGGCGCCGAGCGCACTTTCCGTCGCGCCTAATTCGTCTTCGCGGGCGTTTCTGCATTTATTTGGAGTCGAATTGATCGGCACGCCGTCCGGGAGAGCCGCGATCAGCAGCAGGAACATCGCGGGGTGCGCTCCTGGCGTGCGCCTACGGCTTGTCAGTCCGTTCGGCACGGATACCAGCGCGAAACTGCCCGCTCGCCGCTAATCGGAGCCAATTGCGTCTGACGCATCCAGACTACTGGTGCACACTCGCCTGCTCTAGCCGCGGCAAGGAGATTCTTGTCTCGCGTGCCTCGTCGTGTAATCGCGCCGCGAGACAACGATCTACTTTCCCGCGCTATAGTTGGGTAATGTACCGTTACACGCGCGCTCCCTAAGCCCTCGCGCTCCCGCAAGCTCGATCCGCCAAGTCAATAATCCACGCGCGCCCGCGTCGCAATTTCAATTTGCTCGTTCCGTGTAATGATCGCCGCTGCGCGCCCCACGCCGTCGCATATTCGCGATGGGCACGCCGGCGCATCGCGCGATCGTTCGCAATCGCGATAGCTTACAGTCGCGGAGCTCCGCGTGGAGAGTTGATTGAATCGCACGCTACACGTCCGCCGCAGTCGATATTCGCGAAAAAGCCAAAGCCCGTCCCGGCCGCGAGAGCGGCTAATGTCGACCGGAGCGCCGGCCGAAAGTGCGTGCTCAGCGCGAGGTCGCGCCGTGACCCAATTCGATTAGCCGGTCGTCGAAAATCTCTTCGGTTTTAACGACTCGACGAGCCGGCGCGACGCGCGATAATTCTTCGCGTTCGGCCGATTGGCAAGGCACGACGAGCGAGCGGACGGCGGCAAACAAGAGAAACGAGATCAAACCGCTTGCGCGCTTGCGACAATTGAACGATCATTCGGACCGTTTAGTGCTCGCGAGACAAAGCAGCGCGTGCTGCAGTCCCTCCTCCCTCCTAGCCCGACTGTAAAACATATTACGATCGTGCGGAAATTTCTAGATGCACGTAACGATTAAAGGTGGAACTGAGATTTAATGATGCTACGTGGATAATTGATTTCCCGCTGTAGCGCTGCGACCGGAGTCGTGCGAAATTAATTAAAATGTAGAAAACGTAACGAATCCGAAGCCGTCTAGATACCCGCATTACATGCGATGCAGACGTAAAAAATGCATCGCCAATAAAGAAAAACAATCACACGGAACGAGAATGATTCTCGTAATTGCATTGAAATTGTGCTGTACCGTTGTCACAGCTATTTTATGACAATTTCAACCATCTCCGATGTCTGGATGGAATTTCGTGAATGTTTTATGAATCATAGACGCCGGAAGAGGTTTGCCAAGGTAAACTTTATTCTGATAAAGCTAACGCAAACAGTAAAAGAGACATCAACGTCGATTACGAAGGACAGCGAAACTCTAGCCTGCATTTTTTTTTTCTTTTTTTTGTTAATCTCCAAGTCAGGTCTGTTGTTCTGCTTTTTGTTGTCGGTGCGATATGCATCTACGGTAATTTAAATGAAATCTTAACCAACGACTTGGTGCAGCAGTAATAAAAGAGAAGGCGACGTTGTTGTCGATCAAGCCCGACGTTTTTCTCGAATCTTCGCGCTTACTCTTTCATTTCCGTTGTAGTTTCTTCCAAGCGCTGTTTGTTACTTTTCATTCCAATTACTTCTGAGAACGGTCGCTTCTTCTTTCTCTCCCAAGGGAATTCAATATTGATTATCATGTAAGAACGAAAAGTCAGGCGTCGAA